CTCTGCCGGACCTCAACCACGACCATCCACGCCCAGTGTTCCCTGCCGGACCTCAACCACGACCATCCACGCCCAGTGTTCCCTGCCAGACCTCAACCACGACCATCCACGCCCAGTGTTCCCTGCCGGACCTCAACCACGACCATCCACGCCCAGTGTTCCCTGCCGGACCTCAACCACGACCATACACGCCCAGTGTTCCCTGCCGGACCTCAACCACGACCATCCGCGCCCAGTGTTCCCTGCCGGACCTCAACCGCGAGTATCCACGCCAAAAGATATGCCACATAGAGTGCCAGAAGATATGCCAGATAGAATGTTAGAAGATATGCCAGATAGAATGTTAGAAGATATGCCAGATAGAATGCCAGAAGGTATGCCAGATAGAATGCCAGATAGAATGTCAGCTAGAATGCCAGAAGATATGCCAGATAAAGTGCCAGAATGTTTGCCAGATAGAATGCCAGCAGATTTGCCAGATGATATGCCAGAAGATATGCTAGATAGAATGCCAGATGGAATGCCAGAAGATTCGCCAGATAATATGCCAGAAGATATGCCAGATAGAATGCCAGATGGAATGCCAGAAGATATGCCAGAACATATGCCAGAAGATATGCCAGAAGATATGCCAGAAAATCTGCCAGAAGATATGCCAGAACATCTGCCAGAAGATATGCCAGGTAGAATGCCAGAAGATATGCCAGATAGAATGCCAGATCGAATGCCAGAAAATATGTCAGATAGAATGCCAGAAGATTTGCCAGTAACAAAATGTATAAATGTCATGGTGGGGATCACACGAAGTAAAGTAATTAGATGTCTTCCTGGGGCCCACCCTTACTGGACCCAAAAAAGCTTCAAAACGAACAATTTTACATAATAGATTGAATAAGAAAAAGACTCCTGGTCGATGTTGCCACTCCGGCTTCTTGCTGCCATGATGATTATGATGTGCTATTGGATGTTCTGGGAACCCTGGGCAAATGCTATGTTAGCAATCCTGTTGCCAAAACTTTGGAAATTATGACTGGCACACCTGTTTTTGGATGTCTTCCTGGGGCTCACCCTTACTAGACCCAAAAAAGCTTCAAAATCAACACTTTTACATAATAGATTGAATAAGGAAAAAACTCCTGGTCGATGTTGCCAATCCGGCTGCTTGCTGCCATGATGATGATGATGAAGATGATGATAATGATGATGATGATGTGGTAATTGGAAGTTTTGGGAACCCTGGGCAAATGCTATGTTAGCAATCCTATTGCCAAAACTCTGGTTTGGATTGAAAATCATGACTGGCACAACTGTTTTTGGATGTCTTCCTGGGGCTCACCCTTGCTGGACCCAAAAAAGCTTCAAAACCAACAATTTTTCATAATAGATTAAGGAAAAAACTCCTGGTCGATGTTGCCAATCTGGCTACTTGCTGCCATGATGATTATGATGTACTAATTGGAAGTTTTGGGAACCCTGGGCAAATGCTATGTTAGAAATCCTGTTGCCAAAACTTTGGTTTGGATTGAAAATCATGACTGGCACGACTGTTTTTGGATGTCTTCCTGGGGCTCACCCTTACTGGACCCACAAAAGCTTCAAAACAAACATTTTTTCAGAATAGATTGAATAAGGAAAAAACTCCTGGTCGATGTTGCCACTCTGGCTACTTGCTGCCATGATGATTATGATGTGCTATTGGAGGTTTTGGGAACCCTGGGCAAATGCTATGTTAGCAATCCTGTTGCCAAGACTCTAGTTTGGATTGAAAATCATGACTGGCACAACTGTTTTTGGATGTCTTCCTGGGGCTCACCCTTACTCGACCCAAAAAAGCTTCAAAACGAACAATTTTACATAATAGATTGAATAAGGAAAAAACTCCTGGTCGATGTTGCCAATCTGGCTACTTGCTGCCATGATGATTATGATGTGCTATTGGAGGTTTTGGGAACCCTGGGCAAATGCTATGTCAGCAATCCTGTTGCCAAAACTTTGGTTTGGATTGAAAATCATGACTGGCACAACTGTTTTTGGATGCCTTCCTGGGGCTCACCCTTACTGGATCCAAAAAAGCTTCAAAACGAACCATTTTACATAATCGATTGAATAAGGAAAAAATCCTGGTCGATGTTGCCACTCTGGCTACTTGCTGCCATGATGATTATGATGAACTATTGGAGGTTTTCGGAACCCTGGGCAAATGCTATGTTAGCAACCCTGTTGCCAAAACTCTAGTTTGGATTGAAAATCATGACTGGCACAACTGTTTTTGGATGTCTTCCTGGGGCTCACCCTTGCTGGACCCAAAAAAGCTTCAAAACCAACAATTTTTCATAATAGATTGAGTAAGGAAAAAACTCCTGGTCGATGTTGCCAATCTGGCTACTTGCTGCCATGTTGATTATGATGTACTATTGGAGGTTTTGGGAACCCTGCGCAAATGCTATGTTAGTAGTCTCCTTGGTCTAACAACTCTGGGATGGAGACTACTAACATTGCATTTGCGCAGGGTTCCCAAAACCTCCAATAGTACATCATAATCATCATAGCAGCAAGTAGCCAGATTGGCAACATCGGTCGCTTATTCAATCTATTGTGTAAAATTATTGATTTTGAAGCTTTTTTGGGCCCAGTAAGGGTGAGCCCCACGAAGACACCCAGAAGCAGTTGTGCCAGTCATGATTTTCAATCGAAAACCAAAGTTTTGGCAACAGGGCTGCTACTACAACAACAACTACTACTACTACTACTGCTACTACTGCTACTACTACTACTACTTCAGACGCGCCAAGTTAGCACCAAAATGTCCATGTCACACCATGTGTTCCCAACGCCAAGTTAGTTGAATCTCAGCCCCAAAACCCAAACACTAACATAGCGAAAAAAAACAACAGGTAAGATACATCCCCACTGTATCCACTATGCATTCCAAAAAAATCGGCTTCAAGATGATGTTCATTACTGTTTGACTTGATACATCATTATTTGGACTGGCTTCGCAATGAACTAAAACAACATAACATAAAGAATTAAAAACACATTGCTTTTGCATTTCCTCCACCTAACCTAGACCCTGCCATGAGTGTGGGGTCGGAAGGCAACAAGTTCGAACTTGGGATGGGTGTTTCTCAGGGTCTATGCTTTGACGATGCAGTAACTTGGCAGTAGCCGCCAAACAAATAGACTCAAATCGACAAATAAAAACCCGTTCTTCACCCCATACTATTTGTCAAAATGTGCTTTTGTTCACTTTTTTCCCGCACCTGCTAGGTGATGGTCTTTAGATTTGAACCGAACTTCCCACACAAAGGGCCAGTTCTTCAGCTTTATGGGTCCCGACCCGAAGTCTATTATTGCCAGGTAGAATGTCCCATAAAATCTAGGGGGGTCCATAAATGGGGGATCCCCCAAATGGTTAGTTCAAAAAGGACAAAGTACGATTAACATGGATTATTTTAGGAAACCTCCATGTCAGGTAGACTGTTAGATAGAATATTAGAACAACATGTCAGATATAAGTTCAACTTTATAAAATGTAAGATAGAATGCCAGTTAAAATGCCAACATGTATGTCAGACAGGAATGGCGGATAGGATGCCAGATAAAATGTCAGAATGTCAGAATATATGTCAGATAGAATGTCAAATAGAATTAAATAGAATGCGAGGTAGTATGTCAGATAGAATGTCAGAGAAGATGTCAGATAGAATGTAAGGATATATGAATATATAGATATAGAATGATATAGATATATCCGGATATAGGGTGGGGATCACACGAAGTAGAATACTGTCATCACACGAAGTAGGGGCGGTGAAATCTCTGGTCTGGATCTTTGATGAGAGGTGAGCGTCACCAGCGTTTGAAAAGCGACAAAAACACGAATTCTTGGGACCGATATTTGGCACTTCCAATCAAAGGCATAATCAAAAGGCATTCCTACAACGATTATTTCCTGATTTTTAGCCTGAACCAAATCTATGTAGCCTTGTCCACCCCACACTGAACTATATTTCCAACACAAAGTAGCATCGACATATCCAAGATTAAGACTAGCTTCTGGAAAGGAGAACCCTTCAGTGCAGCAACAATTCTTGTGAAAGAACGTGATATCCTGGAAAAATGCATTCTTCAGTAGAGGTGGCAGTCCTGCTGGAAGAAGGTAGAATCATTTCGAAAGAAAGTGTATACAGCAATGCCTGTATAAAAGATCACTCCGTTTTAAGCAGCGCTGTTCATTGAATTTTCAGTTCAAAGCCAAGAATTTGCTGTCTACAGGTCTAACAATGTATATCGGCTAGTCCGACATACAAATCCCATTTCATGTCGGACTCTCTGGCTGGCACTCTGTTGCGAAACCATCGGGAATTCAATTCCAGGGATGAACCTCACCTATCCAAATGCTAGAAAACAAAACAACATATACACTGGGAGACATTCAGGGTGATTACATAGTCCCAAAATACTCAAAAATCGTTTCTGTTTTTTTGTTTTCTGACATTTGGATAGGTGAGGTACATCTCCAGATGGAGATGGAGACCAAGTGCTAAATTTGGCAGTTTCACACACCCAAAAACCCAACGCTCACAGCATTCTTTTCTGTTTTTTGGTTTTCACTTTTGGCCCTTGACCAGCTATAAGTCACTAAGTCACCGCATTTAAAGAATGACAACCCCATTTATAACCATTGACAACTACTCCAAAGGTCTTTAACTGTATCCCATCCCATTGTGCTGGTTGCTTACTGTAGTAAATATTTCCATTTTGTGTTTTATGGGTTCAAATTTCTAATAATCAATGTCACCATTAAACAATGCAGTAAAATCTCTACAATAACCGAATAACCACAACAAATTTCATGGTAAATCTTTATTCTATCAAACATAGCACGTGATTTTTAACAATGATAAGCCATCAACCATTGATAGCTGGTAAAGGCGGTAAAGGTCTTTAACTGTAAACCAGCAAGCATCGAAACACGCCGCAAACGCGACCGCCAGGCTCCAGCGGGTCCGGGTCCGGGTCCAGCCACGTGGCTTGGGGCCTTGGCCTTGGCCTTGGTCTCGCTGGACTTGCTGGAACAGCGAGGTGAGAAATGCCACCGGTGATCCTGGGGGACGGGCCATGTTTATACGGAGGTGTCGTCATGGAGGTACCCCTTTATCGCTGGATGGTTTATAGTGGAAAAGCCGAAAATAAAATAGATGATAACTACCTGGAGAACCAAAGTTGCTGGTTTTTTTAGGCAACTTTTCAAAATTTTGGCAACTTTCCCAAAGTGGCAGTAATTTTTGCAACTTCTCCGAAAATAGGCAACTTTCATGGAAAAACACAGATTATTGCAACTTTAAGTCTTCCAGTGCCTTTTGCGCTGATTTAGGTGAGTCAGTTGGGTTGTCTGGGTCTTAAACATCTTGAAGCTATCCTATTTCCAGGTTTGTTCTGAAGATACGTGCAAGTTCAGCAAGTGGGTTTTTTAAATGTCGATGTTTGCAAAAGCCTATGCGCCGAAGTCTGATCTTATTGTTGCGTGATTGAGAGCTCTCTGCCTTGCCCGGAAACTCCTTCCCTTCTGTGCAACTCTGACCTTCAGCAACGTTGAATTTATAGTGCAACATAAGGGTTTTTCTTACTTTCAGTGTATAATGGCTTGACATTTTAACATGTCTTCCCTTTGGCCGCTGGCAGTGGAGAATAGTGTTGTTTGGAGCACACATCACGGCGAAACTGCATAATCAAGCTATAGATGCACAGCGATAGATCAAGATAGGTAAAGCGTAGACAAAGCGTTCTTACCAGGAAGAAGAGTCGAAAGGACATTGATATGCGCAGTAGAAAGGGCATTTATTGAATTTATTGCAGAGAAAAGGCGTGTCCTGCAATAGAGCCAGAGAAAGTCAGAATAGTACAGGGAAAATTGAAGCAGAAAACGACCATAACATAATGCCCCCGCATCAAGCATAGCCACTGTCACAGCGACAGCAACTCTCTGCGTTCTATGGACTTTTGAGTGCCATGAGCAAGTGCGCATGAACTAAGTAGAGCTAAGCACATGTCACGGGGGATATTTAGAGGCGTCCTTTGTCCGGACCAATGAGGGGTAGAAGGGGATTGCTCGCAATTTTCTTGTCACTGATGCCTGCCCGGACCCGAAAAGATCAAAAAATGAACTTGCGAGTAAAAAAACGACACCGTACGCCACCGTACGAAAGTGAGAAAGTGGCGAAAAAAAGCGAGAAAGTGGTGAAAAAAAGCGATACGAAACCGTACGCGACAATTCTGAGCATTTTCATTGAAGTTCTTGCCCTGTTTCTTCCCCATGCTTGCACGCGCGCATCCCATGGTGGCTTAAATTTGGGTTTGGATTCTGGACGCCGGCCAAATACCTGTTGAAATATGTTCAACTTAGACAGCAGAAAACACCGGCCAGAGGGCTCATCAACGCTATGATGCAAGTTTTGTACATTGAAGGTTCTGATACTGCCATCAGTATACAATACATTGAAGTTGAAGCTCAGGTAGCTGCGACATACAAAGGATGAAATCCCTGGGCCTTTCAAGATGAAAAAGCACAGTTTCCTCAAGCGGCCCAAAGATAGCACACAGTGAAGAAGTTTTGCAGGTGAGGTGCAACAATGTGCGAAATGACCTCCCATTTTCTATAGACCCAGGTCTTTCCCAACAGAATTAGACTTTATAGTTGCGAAGGGTTTTGGAAGAACCTTGTTTTACCATATTTTACCTGATTTGTGCATTACTTTACTGCTGGAGAAACTTCAAGTCTGTCTTTGGTTCTGAAGACTTCGTAACTATTGCAAAAAAAATCGCCCAAATCCAATGCGTTCAAAAAAACTCGTGAAAACACCAGGAAAAACATTGGACAATACATGTCAAAATCAAAGACACTATTATACACATTGATCATTCGTCGTTGGCCGCAGCTTTGGATTTTTAATGGAATTCTTGCAGCAAAAAACTATCAATGTTTGAAATTGCTAAATCCGAAAAGATCGTTCGCTTCAACATGGTGTAAACCTTTCGGAAAAGCATGTCACAAAGTGAAAGTTTGTCTTTGGAAGGACTGGGCTGCCACAATACTCATGTTTTGATGGAGGCATAGGAAGCAAAAACTGCCACTATTCGTGCAGTGGCAGAAAATCAGGCAACTTTCGTCAGTGTCCCATTTTTTTTGCCACTTTGTTTTCCAGGTAGGGGTACCCCCATTTCAGGAAACCTCCGTATATAGAAAATTCATATTTGAACACAAGTTATGCTCAAAATCATGGACTGACAAAACTCCGCGTTTTTTGTGATACTCATGCAACTTAATCCAGAAAATCTCAAATTACTTTACTTCGAGTTATCCCCACCATGACATCTATACGTTTTGTTCCTGGCAAATCTTCTGGCATTCTGTCTGACATATCTTCTGGGCATTCTATCTGGCATATCTTCTGGCATTCCACCTGGCATATCTTCTGCAATATGTTCTGGCATATCTTCCGGCACTCTATCTGGCATATCTTCTGGCATATCTTCTGACATTCTATCTGGCATTCTATCTGGCAAATCTTCTGGCATATGTTCTGGCAAACATTCTGGCACTTTATCTGGCATACCATTCTATCTGACATTCTATCTGGCATACCTTCTGGCATTCTATCTGGCATATCTTCTGGCATTTTATCTGGCATATCTTCTGGCATTCTATCTGGCATATCTTCTGGCATTCTACTGTACCTGGCATATCTTCTGGCATATGTTCTGGCATATCTTCTGGCATATGTTCTGGCATACCTTCTGGCATATCTTCTGACATTCTATCTGGCATTCTATCTGTCAAATCTTCTGGCGTTCTATCTGGCAAACATTCTGGCACTTTATCTGGCATACCTTCTGGCATTCTATCTGACATTCTATCTGGCATCCCTTCTGGCATTCTATCTGGCATATCTTCTGGCATTCTATTTGGCAAACATTCTGGCACTTTATCTGGCATATCTTCTGGCATTCTTTCTGACATTCTATCTGGCGTTCTATCTGGCATATCTTCTGGCATTCTATCTGGCCGTTGAGGGCCAGCGGTGCTCACTGAGCTCGGAGGGTCCCAGGTTGAGGCGGTGCTCACTGAGCTCGGAGGGTCCCAGGTTGAGGTCCAGCGGTGCTCACTGAGCTCGGAGGGTCCCAGGTTGAGGTCTAGCGGTGCTCACTGAGCTCGGAAGGTCCCAGGTTGAGGTCCAGCGGTGCCCAGTGCGCTCAGACCCTTGCAGTTGAGGTCCAGCAGTGCCCACTGCGTGCGGAAGTTGGCGAAGAGCTTGGCGAAGAGTTGGCAAGGCGGAAGTGAACATGGAAGTGGAGGCAGAGGTGGTGGAGGAGAAGGAGGAGGAGGAGGTGGAGGAGAAGGAGGAGGAGAAGAAGGAGAAGGAGAATAACAACTCTGATAAAATCTAACAACCCTGGCCTGGCAGGTGGGGAAAAATCATGATAAAGCTGATTAATTGTATTTGTTTGCGATTAGCATCAAACATATGAGCAAGGGTCAAAAGATGGTATGTAGAGATGTTGTATTCGGCCGCCGTCACTTCTAAACATGTGTGATTTCCTGTGGGGAGCGATAGGGGACCTTAAAAAGCAGCGACACCCTCTTAAGTAATGCAAATGTGTTGTCATGGCCACATGCGTGCACTTTCCAGAGGTTTTGGAGCAGACACTCTCCAAGACATACTCTCTCTGTCTCTTTCTTTCTATCTTTCTATCTCTCTCTTTCCCTCCCTCCCTCCCTCTCTCTCGCTCTCCCTCTCTTTCTCCCTTTCTCTCTCTTGCTCTCCTTTTCTCGCTCTCCCTCTCCTTTTCCCTCTCCCTCTCTCTCTCTCCTTCTCTCCTCTCTCATGCACACACACGCACGCACGCACGCACCTGCACATATGGGCGCACGCGTACAAATGCGTACATCTTTCTTCTTCCCATGTCTGCCTTCAGCGCGCAGACAAGGGAAAGCTGCAAGAAGCAGATCAGGCGATGGGTAAAGACTAGAATGCCTCCGGCAAAAAAGTTTTTGGGAACGATGCCTGACGCGATGCAGTTCGATACCTGGAGCGATACCCCAAATCAGCAGAAGCACACAGACCCAAAGACTTGGAGAGAAGACGGCAGCTGCTTCCGGATTTTGAAGAGCATGGCAGAAAGCATCCAAAACGGCTGCGCAAAAGCAGAGCAGCGGCGTGCGCTCGCATGTGCGTCCTTCAAGCCAAGCGGCGGGCCTCACATTATTTAGTTCCAGCTTCTCTACCAGCAGTGGCGAAGCATGAGTGAGCAATTTCCGTTGTAAGGGGGGTTCAAAATGGTTTCGCTAGATAATTTATGCATCTCGCTGACAGAATTTGACGGAGAATTGTGGAGGCCTGCTTGAACATGTATGTCATGCTTCATCATATGTCATTTAGCAAAAAATGAGTTTCCATTGTGTGATGCGATAGGGGGCCTTGAGGAACGATATCCCCTAAATTGATGACAATGGAACCAATACCATGTTTAGGCCGTCGCACATATGATGTTCGCAGTGAAGGATTTTCAACCCTGCTTGCAAATAGACATGTACATGTAGATATTTACATTCATTGGAATGTTGCATGTATTTAAATAGGTCGAACCACCCACTTGACCTGCATTTGTAAAGGTGACAAATTGGCCCACATATCTCAATGTAGAGGAACGCTACTTTTTGAATGTTTATGTGTTTTTACTATTTTTACACGACGGACATCCTATGACTATGAGGTAGTTTATAACCGGCATATGGATGTGTCTGAAGATGGAGTATACCCCCATTTTTCCGAAAAAAAACATATCCAAGTTGTAGGCGTGAAACAGTTCAGTTATTGACCAACTTGTGCGTGCAGGGGCCGTCGACAGAACACGGCTATGGCTGCCAAGGCGAGGAAATCGTGAGTCGGCTAGTGATCTCGGTGGGTGGCTAGTGATGTTGCACTGGGTTCAATGAGGATGATATATGCATGTAAATGTCATTGATAATAGGTGCACAGACACAAATATAATTCGAGACAATATGAGAACGCCGCCCTCAAACAACCAGGAGCTTTGGAGATGGAGGGTGAACTGTGCACTGCTCGACTTGAGGATTGACTCACTGAATAGACTTCTTCGGATGGAAGTGGGTTTGGTTGACTCTTGGAAAAAATGATTCCAACATTTTGCAAGGTGCGGCCCCCATGTATAAGTTGGGTTCTGTTTCCGGAAAAACAATATTATCTGGAAACTATAAAACCTGTAAAAACGTGATATAATGCCCTGCAAAATCTTCAACTTCGAAATGGGTGTTTCTTAGCATGGGGGATCCCCAAAACCATGGGTTTCAATATTTAAGTTGTCTAATTTGGCAGATTGGGGGTACCCCCAGTTTAGGAAACTTCCATATATGTTTATATATATGTATATTATGTATATTTATATATGTATAGATATTCGTTTATGGGGAAACCTTCAATTAGAGCATTTTTGGTTGGTTTGAAAACACCGGAAAACGATCCCAATAAACTTCCAACAGCTCCACCAACCTCGAGCGTGCCAGAAGAAGAAGGCCAAGGGCGTTGCCAATGCCGCCGCCAAAGCAGCAGCCCTGAAGGCAGGAATATTTGGAGAATTGGGCTGATGGATACTACGGTTAATGATGGTGAGTGGTTTATGATTCATACTGTGTGGTACCAGTGTGCCAATAGGATATGGTCCCTGGGGTAACTTCCGGTTTGCCTGGGGTAACCCTGTGTGCCACGGGGATGGGGTAACTTCTGGGTGCCTGGGGTAAGAAACGACGTCCGCCCAGTACATATTCATACTATATATATATATGAAATAACCCCCAATACATGGGTTAGTATGGGTTAATCGATTTATACACAAAGTACCATGAACGTACCCAACAATGGTGGTTTTATCATGCTGTGCCGTCAAGACATAGGATCAATAGGTGTAGCCTTCGGACATCACCAGCACCGCCTTTTTTTAGCGACCCTGGATATGCAGCAAACGGAAGCATCATTTCACATACCAGAAACACTGTTTGTGTTGGTTTGGGGTTGATATCATATAATATCATTACGTATATATTTGTATCATTAATTATATATTATTTTCATATATATCTATATATATATATATATATATATGCGGTATACGTATATTGACCAACCACAAGTGGGGATTTACATGGATTTACCCCTATGTAAGAAATCAATATCATTCATCACGCGGAGATTTTCACCCTGAAGGTGCTAGTTGGAGATTGATGAATTTTGATATAAAGATAAAGGAATATATGGTTATATTAAATCATCCAAGGTGGTGGGTCTGGATGAAAAATTTTGCGACCTCACCCATTGGCTGCCGTAATCATAAACACGAGAAAGTGTTCTTGTTTTGCAGGAAAAACAACTGCTAATCCACAAAAATGGATTCACATCGACATTTTAAGTGGGATTTTGTGTCCAAGAAATCAATCACGCGTGAAACATACTAGTCTGACCGGCAGCCCAGTTTAAAGTCTATTTATTTTGTTGGCCATAAATTTATTGAAATCAAACATGGGTAGCTGGGAATCCCTGCACGAGGTTTTACCGACTCGAGAAAAGGGATGGGCACCGTTGCCATGTTTGAAATTGGAGGGTAAAAAACATATGGTTATGGAAGGGTTAATTCCGAGTAAGATTTGATTATTGGATGATATTTTAAGCGATGTTTGATTATTGATTGACTGATTGATATAATTTCAATTCTGGAAGAGCAAACGAGTAAAAACCAAGGTCTCCGAGACTTGCAAAGAGCAAGCCGGTCGCTCACGACTCACAAAAAGTTCTTTGCTAGTTGGTGGTGTCATCAACAATGTGTAACCATGTTTAGCTGATAGCACAAGGTCTGCGGTATTATTTTTTTAATTATATATGTTTAATTTAATATTACACAATATTATCTTCCATTGTATGATGATATGCCTATATAGCTTGATGAATATCGGGGTGGTTTCAGGTGAAAACTCAGAGAATTTCAGCATCCGCAGAAAGGCACTGTCTTTTGCAAAGCATATTTGAAGTCTCGGAAACAGAACATATCATGCAGACTCTTTGGACTTAGCCCTTGGTAAACTGATATGGTTTGCTGGACTCTTTTCCCCATGCAGTTCAATGATTCTTCCCATATATAGATGCCCCAAATGGCAGGATTTCCGAGCTTGCCGTGCTGCTGGAAGGCCTTACAAGCGTTGGATCAGGATACTGAAAAAAAGCAGGAAGAAGCGCAGGTGCCGGCGCAAGATAGTTGCGAAGTTTATGGTGCATATGTAAATATATATATATATACATACATATGTACACATGTTATATACATTTAGTGAGTGTATATGTATATATATATATATACATATTGATGAAGTATTCGCTCCTACATACTCCACGCTGTTTGTGGTTGAATAACCGTGATAGACAGATAGCATTTTCCGGCTATATCTTGCGAGATAGTTTTATTCCCAACAGTCATACACCAACAACACCCAAATGTCCACACATGGCAAGTTAAGTCGTGATATCACATCGACCTTGGAAAAGAGCTGTTCCAAGGACCACCATGTTCCTGGATGGAATCGTGCCACTTGCATGGTGTTCCATGCATGGTATGTGTTTTTTTCCAATAATAGTCAAGTTGTTTATCATTTTATATACATCAAAAGCATGCAATATGATAATGTATAATTAATATAGTTTGGTGGTGATTGATTGATGAATTACTAATCAACTGTTAATAGATGTCAATCGACCACTTCATTTCGATCCGTTTTGACTATTGCTGTCTGAAAGTTGCAGAATGTTGCAGATACCTCAACATGTCCTTTTTTTACGAGTGGAAACCAGGCAGCTGACTTAGATATTCATAGAATCACTTCGGTATCCTAAGTTGTTTTTCCCCCCATGGATTTCTTGTTGAATATAGCTAGATATGGTATTTTCTGCTAGTTATTTAAGTAGCTTATGGAATCATCATCCAAGTTTAATGAAGAACGCTGGGGTATGTCTCCGGTAAATCTGGCTGGAACATCCAGGAACTATCTCGATGTTGGTTTTTAATCCCCATGAAGATCCATCAACTATAGATACAACCCATGTAAACCCATGTAAGCTCTATATAATTATATAAATAATAATATATATATATATACATACACCATCCATTAACTATACATATATATGATATAGATTCACCATAGTTTAGAAACCGCCGTAGCTTTGATCTATGTACAATCAAACCCAGCGTCCCCATCTGATCCGGATCAGAAAAAGAAGAGAAACGCACGAAATGGAGCAGAGGCGACGGGTTTTAAAAACTATGGGATATGATGGGATATAAGAATAGTTATTGGATCCGTGCCCTCTGCTAAACTAACAGTTTGCAAACCGGAAAATCATCATTTGTAATAGGTAAATCAACGAACTAAATGACAATGTTCAATAGCAATGTTAGATTGCCAGAGGGTAAGCAACAACGATATCATGGTGATTTGGCCATATGCAAAAATTATCTCAGTTGTGAGTTTAAAACTGTCCTGTTGATTGATGATCATATATGGGTTTTTATGGGTTTATCTACGAAAATGGGCATATCATTCAGAAATGATGCGTCGGATTTGGTATTTTATGGGGTTGTTCATTTTTTTTGTAGATCACCTAGGTGGTGAATTATGCATCGTAGCGACGATTTGTCTTCGGCCCTGTAATTTTAACCGGGATATATCTGCTGGTTGGTGGTTTGGAACATTATTTTTTTGTTCCATTAATATTGGGAATGTCATCATCCCAACTGACGAACTCATATTTTTCGGAGGGGTAGGTAACCAGTCTGGTTCATTAAGTATCATGAACTCCCCTCTGGTAAACTAACATAACTATGGAAAACCACCATTTTTAATGGGTAAATCCACAATAAATCACCATTTTCAATAGTTTTTGGTATGTTTACCAGGCCGGGTAACCCAGCCATGGGAAATCCCGTTCTCTTCCAACCACTGCTCATTTTTTGGATGGTGGGAAAGCTAGCGAGCGACCCAGAGGATTGGTAATGAACATGACCATGAATCTGGCTATCAAGATCTGATTGGCCGAGATTCGTGAGTTTGATGTGAGTATTGTGACTTTGGCTGAATTAAATCCAGATTTTCTGAATAGAATATAGTAGAATAATCTTCAGGAAACACCCAGTAGAACCAGTGGAGATCACAGCCTCGCATGCCCGTCTTCGCAGGCGCGGCAAGCAGGGCAAGCAGCGCCTGAAGCTTCAGTTTCGGAAATTCAGGTGCCGGCGAAGCGCCAGGTAATCATGGCATATCAAGCAGTTATGGCCCGAAATACCAGTTATAAGTACGTATAACCCCATTTATAGAATGTATGATCCAGTTATAACTAATAAATGGCCATAACTGTGTACAACATGCTACTGATTTTGAACGAATTCGGATGAATGAAAAAAACGACAACCACAAACTGCTGACTTGACATTCCAAATGTCACATCAAAGAAATAAACGCTTTGCAGGCGTCGCGAAAGTGCCTGTGATTTTTTTCGAGTTCATGAGTCCAGGTATACTCGACAATTCCTCACTGAATGAGTTTCACATAGTTTCACATGATGATATCCGATAAACATCGATAAACATATATGGAAAAGAAGTCAATACAACAAGCATTGACGCAGATTGACTCAGTGATTGGATCAGCAACAAACTTATACCCAATGAGTTCATTCACCAAGCGACCAAGCGACCCGACTCTCAGGACAAGCCCAGCTTGTGGACATATTACTAGTGCTACAAGGGTTATGAACCATGTATTTCCATCATTGACATCACCAAGCGACAAACCTCAGTTGGTTCCTTTTGATTTTGGAGGAAACGATGGGCAAATCTTGACGCAACCAGGTGTATGCATTAAATTTGAAGCCCATTCGTTCCTTTTTTTTGACTTGTGAAAGGATGAGTTTTTCGATGTGGCATCGACTTTTTTTTCGCTACGTGGGTGAATTCCTCATGAAACTATTAGCTGCATCATGTTTGATAATCCCAAGCATTCATCGCATCATCTCCTGGTGAAGCCCGAAACACCTGGCCGATTCAAAAAAAGCGCACGTGAAGCCATGGCCCATGGATGATTTACCATAACTTGACTTAACTATTGAAATTTCGTGTTTTTTGTCCATATGTTACTTTACTTGAGGGTAAAGTCAACTAAACATATATAGCCAGCCTGAGTTGTGGGTTGAGAGGCACCGCCTGAGAAAGTCGAGGAGGAAACAGCTCCCAAAGAAGAGAAAGAAGTGGAAGAAAAGGCCCATCTCAAAGTTGCCAGTTTTATCCCCTCTTCAGTGATGGATGGCCAGTGTGCTTTGTTGGGAAATGAACAAATGAATATCATACATATAATATATATATATACATATGTATATTAGTATATGATGTATATATATATATATATTTATATATATGTATATATATATATATATGTATATATATATGTATATATATATGTATATATATATATATATATATCATATATATATATCATATATATAGCTGTGTCTGAACTATGGCATCCCACTATCCACTGGTTTATCATCATCAGATCGTCATGTTCTCGATTAAAACGGTAGTGTTCTGGGTGTTACACGTGCCGGTGTACCACATACGTCATTTGTCCATATGCTTGAAGAAAACGATGATTGACGGGGAACAACATACATGCTAAGATCAGCCAGAACTATTTGTTGGTTTTTGAGGCTGTGACAGAAAGATGGGGTTAGACTACTGAAAAGAAACAGGTTGACAGATATAATGTGTAATCGCCCATAGATGATGGTTTTAATCTATACATGGGCCATATCACTATTTTATATAACAATTTCCCTATCGTTTTAAGTTGGTTGATTCCCCTTCAGCTATAGTTATGCTACCATGATCACCAGAAATCCTGCCAAGCGTGCCTTGTGAACTAAAACAATGTAGGTACCCTCTGGTTATGACTAACAGTTCGCCATGGTATAGATGGCCCATTTATAGATGGTTTACCGGTTTACCTATTAAACATGGTTATTTTCCATGGCTATGTTAAATAACCAACTGGTAACCAGGGCTCAGCACATCATCACAGCTCACGCGTTGGCTGAATCATCTTCAAACATTGGGCAGGTACCTGTGACGGCCCAAATAGCCGAAGTGAAGAAGGAAGAAGCGAAAGCACCTGCCAAGGAAAATCCACAGGTTCAAGAAAAAGAGGCCTTGTTGAGAGATGGAGAAAACAATCAAAGGGTTTGGCATTGCTCAGGGTACCCGTATTTGGCCATAGGATGTCTAGTTTCTTTCCCTAGGATGGCAATTTCTTGATGAGGACACCAACTGATGTTAATGGTTTTGGTAGATTGGAGCCAGCAAACGCACATAGTCAGATAGTTAGATTCCAAGCGTCTCCCAAGTGGATGGACCTGCAAAAACCGGGTTCAGAAAACAGGAGACTCAGTTGATCCTGCGCCTTTGCTTAAGCCTTATTTTGAAACTGTTGACACTGCCACCAACAAGATTTAGACTGGTTGGTGGTTTGGAACATGTTTTTTCCATTCAGTTGGGAATAATGATCCCAACTGACTTTCATATTTTTCAGAGGGGTAGGTATACCACCAACCAGTATTGTATTTTACTTATTTTCAGATGATGGCATCCCAGCATTGTGGATCTGGCACAGTCAAAATCGATGACAGAAATCCAGAAAGAAATCCTCAGGGGATTGAGGTACACGGCAGTGAGTTGCATGGTACACGAGCCCGCATCCACTGCAAAGCGAAGATCGAATCATCCGTTTTTTCGTTCTCAGACGTTCACATCCAGCGGTTTTCGATGTTCAGAACGGTTAGAACCAGCTATTCTCATTTTAGGTCCTCCAGGTCCTACACCGCTAAGCGAAATTACTTTTGGTTTATGGTAGAACAAAAACCCTCTGGTAATCATGGCAATGGAAAGTCCACTATTTACAGTTGATTTTCCCAGCTTTTTTCACCTCCATGTTTTTCGAGGATTTCCATGATTTCCTCCAGCCAGGTTTCTTACTGGATATCTAATGAGTAAATGATGGGGCTATCCACCGTGCCCAGCGCTGAAAAAAGTGCCGCAGTGGTTGTGCCGCGCAACGCAGACTGTGTCGACGACCTCCGACCTTGCGGATCTCTTGAGTCAAACCATGAAAGAAGTCGAGGTGCGGCGGCGATGCTAGGGGTGAAGTGTGAAGGATGATTGAACTACATGCAGTTAACCCATTTAAAGTGGTTGGATTTAACATGATTTGACTGGATAGTTATTATATTAATATGTCATTATTGGATATATAATGATATATATATATATATACACATACATACATTGTAATGGATTGTTTCACCAGCTATAATCAAGTCATTCAAGACTGGGTTGGATTCGGCCGCCAATCCGGGTCCCAATTTTCATGGGGTTAATCAGTTAATATGCCCATGATGCTGGGGGGAATCCCCTTCATGATGGTGACAGTTTTGACCTTGGCACAGATGACTTGCGGGCGGGCGTCAATGACTTTGGTTATCAGCCTTCCTCCAAAGATTTGATACTTTGCAAATGGGACTGGGACCCCATGAGTAGCTTCAAGAAAGTCCAGTCCCAGATACAGGGGGTCGTTTTGGGCTTCAAACCTTGGCCCATTCCATGCGAAGTCAGACATCGTTCAGCTGTATACAGCCATAGACAGCGCAACGTGGTGATGCCCCCGAACTTGTAAGCTTGGTTTCTGTTCCACTAACAACAAGATAGATATATGTATCATAAACCAGACAATTAAAGGGCTCCGCCCCCTGCCGCCGACCCCTGGGCATATCTCCCATTGAGCAAAACAGCAGGGCCCTGAAGGACGGACCGAGCCTCCGGGCAACGGCTCCCACTGCCTAACGTTGCTTTCTGAACCTACAAGAAAACTAGCTCTCTTCCAGCCGTCAAGGCTCACAAACGGCGCCCTCGCCACAGCAAAACAGCAGGGCCCTGAAGGACGGACCGAGCCTCCGGGCAACGGCTCCCACTGCTTAACGTTACTAACGTTGCTTTCTGAAGCTACAAGAAAACTAGCTCTCTTCCAGCTGTCAAGGCTCACAAACGGCGCCCTCGCCACAGCAAAACAGCAGGGCCCTGAAGGACGGACCGAGCCTCCGGGCAACGGCTCCCAAACTAGCTCTCTTCCAGCCGTCAAGGCTCACAAACGGCGCCTCCGCCACACCAAAACAGCAGGGCCCTGAAGGACGGACCGAGCCTCCGGGCAACGGCTCCCAGTGCCTAACGTTGCTTTCTGAACCTACAAGAAAACTAGCTCTCTTCCAGCCGTCAAGGCTCACAAACGGCGCCTCCGCCACAGCAAAACAGCAGGGCCCTGAAGGACGGACCGAGCCTCCGGGCAACGGCTCCCACTGCCTAACGTTGCTTTCTGAACCTGCAAGAAAACTAGCTTTCTTCCAGCTGTCAAGGCTCACAAACGGCGCCCTCGCCACAGCAAAACAGCAGGGCCCTGAAGGACGGGCCGAGCCTCCGGGCAACGGCTCCCACTGCCTAACGTTGCTTTCTGAACCTACAAGAAAACTAGCTCTCTTCCAGCCGTCAAGGCTCACAAACGGCGCCCTCGCCACAGCAAAACAGCAGGGCCTGAAGGACGGACCGAGCCTCCGGGCAACGGCTCCCA